TTTCATTGTACCCAACTTACCCTCACACGTCACTCCTGATAGGTAGTGGCAAAGTGGTACCCTAGACGCAGCCCTTTTAGTATTATGCAGCTAATTATTAATCATCGTCACTACCAATCAGCAGACTTAGCCTAGTCTGGAAAAGCACCAGACGCCGGCGTTTCGACCTTCTGGGTCTCGTCAGTGGTGCGCCCCCTAGCGGACTCCTGCCGGGTTCCGCCCCCATGACTTCAGGATGCTAGCAGCTAATGCCACTTCGCCATGGATGACAGCCACGGACCTGCGTGATTAACAGGTGACCATGAGATAGTCTGACTCACCTTCCATTGTCGTGCCGGTTGCGAACTGTGCAGAGGACAAATGGCTAGCGTCAGAAGCTAGGACTTACCGCATAGCGCTTATGTACCACAAAGGGCTTAGAAGCTATCATCATCATCATCATCAACAGCAGTACATCAGCCATTTGAACTGATGCTTCGCTGCCATACAACCATGAGGACCTATGAAATAAAGAATAAGAGGGAGAGAAGGGGGATTTACCTGAAAACCTTAATGCCCTAAGCAAACATTCAGGGTCAAGGCGCCTACACCTTGTGTTAACAACATACCGTCACAAACAGCTGGCTTTCGTGAAAAGATAAGGCGGCATCGGCGAGACAGCTTCCTTGCGGCTTTCACTGCCACGCGTCATAATCAGCCATTACCCCGCAGATAACTCAGCACCAAACACACTTTAAACAGACAATCCGATTAGGAGACGGCAGCAGACGCGCCACTGGTGTCGGTTGCGAGCCATGTCCTGTAAAGTCTCGAGCCAAGCACAAGGTGAGTCACGTGGACTCCAGTCCGGAAGGCGCGACGGACCAACGGCACCCAGTTTGGTCGTCAGTGACTTCATTTCCCGCTGCCAAGTCAACTTCTGTCCACCTCGAGCCTTGCGCCATCCGACACCTGGTAGACTGAACAAGGCCCTCCTAGGTAAGCGGTGACCAGGCATGCGTAGCACGTGCCCGAGCCAACGTAACTTATTCAGTGCTATCTGTTGTTCTAGGGAGCTAGCATGATCATCACCCCCTAGTACTCGCCTACGCACATCATCGTTGCGGACACGCTGGTGCCATCCGACACCAGCAATGCTTCGCAAACAACGATGATCAAAGACTTGAAGGCGCCTCAGATCTTCAGACCGAAGGGGCCAAGTTTCACTACCATAGAGCAGAACGGCCCTCATTGTGGCCTTGTATACACGGCCGTTCAGACGGAGGGAAACTCCCTTCTGTCGCCAAAGATGACGCAGGTTCAAGAAGGCAGCTCTGGCCTTTGCAATGCGTGAGCTCACGTCAGTTTCTATGCGCCCATCATTGCTGATGCAGCTGCCAAGATAAGTGAATTGATCAACCACATCGAGTTCCTCGTTAGCAAGCGTCAAGAGGTCATCAAGTGGCTGGTGGTCCTGCAGCAACACTTTGCACTTTGAAGGTGCGAAGTGCATACCAAATACTGGGACCACTCTGGATAGGCTATTCAGGGTTGATTGTGCCGCCTCAACATTGTCGAAAAGCAAGACGATATCGTCCGCATAATCTAGATCAACTAACCGTTCACCAAGCAGCACTTCAACACCTACATCGCGAGATTCCGCAAGGGAACACTCCATGATAGAATCCACGACGAAATTGAACAAAAATGGGGAAATCGGGCAACCCTGTCGAACGCCACTTGTAGTCGAAAAGCTATCCGATAGGGCACCATAGACCCTGACGCGGCCTCTAGTGTTCGAGTATAGAGCACGAAGGATGTTCACATATTTCGTGGGAACACCTTTCCGCGCAAGTATTTCGAACAGAATCGATCGATCGACTGAATCGAACGCACTCTTGAAATCGAGGAACACAGCTATTGTCGGTCTGCGGTATGCGTGGCGCTGCTCTAGCACCTGCTGCAAAGTAAACATATGGTCTATACAGCCACGTCCTGGGCGAAAACCGGCCTGCTCTTCTCTAATCCGAGATTCCCGTTCTGTAGTGAGACGACGAACGATAATCGAGGCCAGTAATTTTGTCACAACTGGCGTTAGACTAATACCCCTGTGGTTCGCACAGTCTGTGCGACTGCCCTTCTTGTATATTGCCATTATAATCGATTCGCTCCAATTAGCCGGCACACTCTCTTCGTTCCAGATACGTTCGAATAGGGAGGTCAGTGCTTTGCAGAGGACCTCACCTCCATCCTTAAATAGTGGAGGTGGGAGGGAATCCGGGCCAGCCGCACGAAAACGATTAAGGGCTGTGATCGCGTTTCGGACTTCGGCCTCCGACGGAGGCTCTAAACTAACCGTCCATGGCTCGTTCTGCATCACCTGAGTAGGAAGAGGTCCGGGAGCAGGGGGCCAGCTGAACTGAAGTTCAAAGTGCTCAGCCCAACGAGCCATACGGCGCTGCTTATTGTGTATCAGCGCACCCGCGCTGTCCCTGATTGTCTCACTGACGCCTGGTTTTCTCGGACCAGTGGTGCGGATTAGCTGGAAGAGCTTCCGGTAATTGTCTACTGCTCCTGCCTCCTCCATTTCTTGAGCCCGACTGGTCCACCAGGCTTCCTTGTCAGCACGTAGGCTCCGCTTTAGTTCACGCCTAATAGCCCGTCTGGTCACATTGTGTTCAGAACCAGCCGGGAGCAGCCTTCTAGCTTCCAAAAGGTTCACGGACCTCTCGGATATCCAGTGACTGGTGCGATGACGACTGATAGTGCCACAAGCAGATGCTCCTGCGTCGTGCATAGTGGCCGAGATCTTATTCCACTGAAATTCAGTATCATTAGGACAAGACAGCGAGAGTTCGCTATGCAGTGCTTCTTGGTAGGCTTGCCTGACAGAGGGCTGGGACAATTTCTCCGTTGCCAATCGGGGGAGACGCTTTGTGCGCCTTCCGGTAAAGTTCATGGAGAAACGACAGCGCACCAAGACATGGTCAGAGTCGACACAGGTATTCCAGTACGAGCGGCAATCCAGAATGGAACCGCGCCACCTGTAACTTATGGCTATGTGGTCAATTTGGGTCCATTGCTGACCAGCTACAGGTGGACGCCAAGTGGCACTTCGGCGCCCACTGTGTCTAAAAGCAGTGCTAGTAAGAAACAACTGGTGCTCCGCACACAGTTGCAGCAGACGCTCGCCGTTGTCAGTCCGTTCGGAGTTAAGTCCATACTAACCACCCAGATGAGCTTCTGAAGAGCTCAGACGCCCTACTTGTGCGTTCATATCCCCTGCAAGTACTATAATATCTGAACTAGTAGCACTGCGTAGCAGCGTGTTCAGTTCGTGATAGAAAGTGTCCTTGACTGCATTAGAACTGCAGTCCGTGGGAGCATAAGCAGAAATCACAAACAAACAGCGTTTTGTTTTACTTCGCGAATTCACCTTAGCTGATGTCGTCAAACGGGCTGCACATAAACGACTGTTCACCGGAATCCAATCAATCAACGATAACTCAGCCTTGGAGCTGAGAATGATACCTACACCAGCTTGACCCGTGAGTGCCGCATCGGCGTCTCCGGATGCGTGCAACCAATAACGAGAGGATAAGCCGGGTGCAGTCAATTCAATAACCCCGTTAGGGTCATTAATCCTAGTTTCGGACACACAACACACATCAACACCCAGTGTGTCCAAGGTGCGTGCGAGTGCAGCCTGCTGACCTGTTTGTCTTAGAGTGCGGACGTTGAAGGTCGCCATGGAAACGGGACAGCGTGGTCTTATAAGGGACTTTTGCCAATAGGCGTCCGATAGGTGCTGTGGGATGGTGGCTGCAGATGGTTCTACTCCAGTAGCACTTCGGTTGCTGTCAATTAAGCTGGGAATTATAGGAGGAAGGTTAGTAATGGGGGCCGGGATGGGAGTAAGAGAAAAAGGTGGAAAAGAAAGAAGGGAGGCGCCAGCAGTAGCATGCTTTCGCTTATCCGCCCTGCTGTATGCAGCAGATAAGGCGACCCTTGATAATCTGCGCGACGGCCGATGCAGGATGAAGTTTATGTCGGAAGAAAAAGTCATGGCTGTATGTGGGCTAGAATACTGCCATGGCGCCAAGACCTAGACAGGAGGACGATTAGGGTCCTCATCCAAAGCCTTTGGCTCAAAAGCCTGTCCGCAAGGCAGCGGGGTGGCAGTGATTTAGTTTTACAGAAATGGACGCCATCCCATTTCAAACCCCCAACCTGGAGGACCAGGAGACTGAGTTTGTCTGACCTCTCACCATTGACCAACCTGGTAGGAGTAGCTCTCAAGATGCTCGGAGGCATCACCCAGTATAGCTCAATGGGTCAATGAGGTACGCAAACCGTCGCACCACGTTAAGGTCCAGTCTCGTTGCGACGGGCTTAGAAGCTATACGGACATACTTTATAGTACTGATGAGTAGTAGGATTGGTATTAAATAATATAGTTGTAAGGAAATTACCTTTCGAAAAGTCATTCAGGCATATACAAGTATGAATCAAGTTGTCATGGAAATAAAAAGTTATTTTCAGCTTAGCATAACTGAGCCGCGTCGGTATGTGGGATGCCGTAGTCAGTGGCTAAATTGGAACATCAATATAGATCAATTAGCCTAAAGTCAGCTGACTGGTCCATGGCCATGAAAAGGTCAAATTTCGCAATAGCGTTTTCTGTTTGCATAGCTCTGGACTCAGCCTTCTGATTTCAATGGCTTCCGCAGTTGGTGCGGACGAGGTAGTTCCATTTGGTTATAACCTATCCCCTGTAAACGCGCTTACGTATAAAGTTATAAGAGTACAAAAACCCAATCGAACGCTTAGAAAGGTGAGAAAACAAGCTCGAAGAAAAATGGAACTCCTGCACACATATAATCAGTTCCCACTGGTAAAAATGATCCGCGAAACGGGCCTAAAGATCAACGGATGACAAGTAAGGTGCAGTGTAGCAATTCTTATGTGTGTGTAAAAGCTCAGAGTGAAACACTACAGACGAAAGTGGAATGTAAGCTTACACTGCGCCGCCAAGGAGTTTCGAATTGAGGGTCACAAGTGCTGCTCCCAACCAGAATATGATGAAGACCTGGGCGAACTCCGGGCCGCCATCACCCAGTGAGGTGTCCGATGGGCTGCTGTGGAGTAATCTGATGAAAAGAGAAATAAGATAGAGAATCGGACTCGATAGACGCTGCTTCAAAGAAAGTAAAGTAATGAAATCGTAGAGTACACCGTACGAGAACTGCCAGTATTGAGTTCGGGACAAATGACAAGGACGTGAGAGCAATCAATTAACGCACAGAAACCATACTGAATGAATGCAGCTCAGCCAGTTATTGCACTGGAAATGGCCACATGCACATTCAGGACAGCGACTTGTGGATGTAGATGAGGATTATCATGCTGTTGCAGCTGCTAAGTTGAATAGGGACAATGGGACGCTGAAAGATTGTTGCTGGCGAAAAGCGAACATGAACCCCCCACGGGAAGTTGGACGCAAAGATGGATTAAACAAATGAAAGACAATGGAGAATAAAACACATGTACGGTAAAATAAGACTGAAAAGTGACGGTCAATGTGGATGATACATTCATTGTTAGTGATAATAATGACATTGACTTGTGTCACAAGGAAATTAGTAAGTCGGAAGCTGACCGAATGTTTGTCCTATTAGTCACTGTTATATGAAACTCACGACAAAATAGGAAAAGCGTTGGGGAGTACCATCGCAATGAGGCTGGATCTTACCGTGGTGCGATGGCTTGTGTTCCTCAGCGATCCATTGAGCTATGATGGGTGGTGCTTTTTGCACCTTCAGAGCCACACGTATCAGATTGGTCAATAGCTAGAAGCTAAACAAACTCAGTCTCCTGATCCTCCAGGTTGAAAGTTGGAATGAGGATGGCTCCTTATTCCTTAAAAAGTACCTCTTGTAATCCAGTGCCAAACCCGCTGCATTGAGATCAGGCGTTCTGAACCAAAAAATTTGGTTGAGAACCCTACTAGTTCTCCTGTCTAGGCCTGGGCAACTTGGCAGTCTCCTGCCCACGCAATACCATGAATCATCCCTCAAACAATTTCCTAACGTTCTGGACTCCGCAGAGGATAATTAACAGTGACCTATCTGCTGCATCGAGCAGCGTGGATAGGGGTTTGGATGCTACTGCCCAAACTTCCCCGTCTCCTTAGTCCCCTTCTTACGTGTGTACACCCTTATAGTCCCGTTCCAACTTCACTTTCATCCTCCCGGTCTTCAAGCCCCAATTCTTGGCACGCCCCTCACTATGATTTGATAGGCGTTTATCTTCTAGTTTCGACCCACGTACAAGCGCGCAGTGTTCCACCCGCCCTGTTGACAATCCCATGTCCAACCACGTGGTCCACCCCAGTTCATCGGCTTCTATTTGGAGTCCTCGATCATCCTTCAGATTCGCATGCCCCAATGTACGCACGGTCAACAGTCAGCAATTGCCAGAACATTAGAGACCCTCTCGATCGATATCTGCTGCCTATCGGAAACCCGTACACAAGACCCGAGCTCTGTTCTCACTCTGCAATCCCCTTTAAGTGACACTAGCAGCACTTTCTCATTGCGCCTATCCGGTGACGATGTAGCTTCGAGCACAGGCCAAGCTGGAGTTGGTATTGCCCTGAGTCCCCGCGCTGAAGCTGCTCTGGTTGTTTGAATCCCAATCAGCAGCTGGATGTGTACGGTCCGACTGGCTGGCTCGTTCAAAGCTTCGAAGTCGCGTGGGGATAATAGGTGACTGTTGGGCATCGCTGCCTACGCCCCCACAAACTGACTCGGTAAAAGACGACTTCTATCGTTAATTGAACGGGCTCCTTCGTCACAGAAGAAGCAGGCACACTGTAGTGCTGGCTGGGGATCTGGACGCTCAAGTTAGGAAATTGGTCACTGATGAGCTGCATCTAGGTGGCTAACATGGTGTAGGCTCCCGTAATGATAACGGCGAGCGGTTACTTCATTTGCGTGAAGATGCTCGTTTATTTCTTACGAGCACTTCCGACACAGCACCCGTCGGAAGATGACATGGCGCCAAGCAGCCTCGAACCAGTCATGGACGTAAATCGATCACATCGCCATCAGTTATCGCCGGTGGCCGCGTGAAAAACTGTCGCTCCATTTGAAACACATGTGTGGACACCGATCATGCACTTGTATGCGTTGATCTGCAGGTGCGTGTTAGTGGTCACCCGCGACGACCCTGTGAGCGCATAGACACCAGGCAATTGGCGAAGCCAGGTGAATGAGTATCGAAGCACGCTGACTTGCGGGTTGAGCAAGCACTCACTGAATGCAGTTCACCAGACCTTACTAGCAGCAGGTAAATCATCATGTGGTAAAGCCACCAGCCAAAATAGACATACGGTCTCTTCGCTGTCTTTGGAACTTATCGATGCTCGTCGGCACATTCCGGCTGGAAGCGAACACGAAACTCAAAGATATCAGGGCAAAACTCCGTGCAAGCCTGAAGAGAGACTGCGAATCCTGGTGATCTCATCGTGCGTCAAAGATGGAAGTGGCCGCTGCCATTGGTAACCATCGAAAGTTGTTCTGTCTACTACAGGAAAGGGGCAGTCGTAGACTTGATGTTGGTGAAACTATACGTGACGAGAGTGGACAGCTTATCCACAACTTGTCAAAATGTTTGGAGTGTTGGGCTGAGCATTTTAAAAAGCAATTTAATCCGTTGGAATTGTCAGATCACTCACCGTTCAGTGATCGCCCTCTTCTCTGGGCTGTCCCTTTGGATCCGCGCTCTCGCTCAGAAGTCGAACGTGTGATCGGACTGTTAAAGTTAAATAAAGCCGCGAGACCAGATGACCCTCATCCAGCCCAGTTCAAATTCGGGGGCCCTGTTCTTGTTGGTGAGTTACACGAATTACTAGTGAAACGGTGGAAGCAGAAAACTGTTCCATCCGACTGAAGCCACTCCGTTATTGTCCCGATCTTCAAAGGAGGCTCGTGTACGGAATGCCGCAACCATAGAGGAATCAGTCTGATCCCATCGCCTCCAAAGTACTTGCCTCTGTAATCCTTCACAGACTGACTGGTTCTCGCGAAAGCCGGATTCGTGAGGAGAAAGCTTTCGTCGTGGTCAGGGGCGCATCGACCACATAAACACATTAGGTCAGTTGCTAGAGCACCGTCACAAACATTGGTGTAATGAATTTGCGCTGACCCGGTCGCGTTAACTTAGACGAAGTTACGCGTAACCTGAGCACGGTCCCTATTCCCGTACGTATTCAGGTGATATGCTGAGTCCTCGAAAACTGACAACGATACGCACAAGACCGGTAGACTAGACATGCGAGACGGACGCACACGGAATACTCGACAAGCGGCGCAAATGAACACGTGACCACGCGGTTCCCAACCAACCACAAGAGAAGACTAAGCGGACCTCTGAGTATTTTTAAGACCCACAAAGACCGAATCAGTTGGCACAACGCTACATTTTGTGGGTGAAACGAGTCGCCACGTAGGGCTGGTGTTTTACGAAAGAAGTTTAGCTCAGTCGCGCCCCAACTCGTAGTGGCTGGATCCTGCTACGTAGTGAATAGGAATTGAACTTTGAGTCCCGCAGCCCACGCGCTGGTATTTGTGGCGCATTTTTGCGAGGTTACTTGATGCAGTCGCAACACCTCCTCTTGAGGATAATGCGGACCGCTTCTGAAAAGGATTGACCTGGAGGGATTTCGGTGATCTCCGGACTCTTTATGTCCGTCGATAAGGAGGGTTCTCAAGATGTTGCGGCGATTGAATGGGTCCGATCGCGGTCTCCCGTTGTGTTGCCATTCCGAAAGTATCCAACAAGATGTGCAGCGGCAGGTGCACAGGAAGACTGGCTGGGGTGGAGAGTTCTCCGTGTCGCGATCGAAGTTGATTGCGATGGAGGACCCACGTGTCATCACCCACAGAGACATCGTGTAGCATATCACCTCGACGGGCCGTCAATGTTGCTTTGATCCAGGGTGGATAACCTGCTCGATAGTTGCGAGCGTATACCGGGGGGCACCAACGACGAATTTATTGTGCATGGTGCAGGCAATAGATTGGCTTAGTGGCTTTTCAGTGAGATGAGCGCTTCCTTTGTGGTGCGTAGCTTGCAGTCCATCAATGTTTTAGCTGGAGACTGGCATCCTGGAGTGGCTGGATTTGATGTGGACCGGTAAGAGAGCAAGAACACCTGAAGGTATTCATCCACGGTCCCATCCCCACGAGATTTCAAGAGTGCCCTCTTGAAGGTATCGACAAACCTCTCCACTTGACCATTGGACTGGAGATGGTGGGGCGGTAAGCGTAGGTGTTGGATGCAATGCCGGTGACAAAAGTCACTGTCAGACACCAAAACGCTAGGAAGGCCATTTAGACTGAAGATTCGTTGTAGACAACCCAGCGTGCCGGATGCGGTCGGTGGGTTGACGGCGACTACTTCAGGCCATTTGGAATAGGCGTCGACCACGATCAGGTAGTAAATGTCATCGATCGGACCGGCATAGTCGAAGTGCACTCGAGACCACGGTTTTTCTGTCGGATGCTAAGGAACTGGTGGTTGGTGTGGTGGCATCTTGGATGCATGTTGGTATTTTGAGCAACGATGAACCAAATCTTGAATACCGTTGTCAATGCCAGGCCAGTAGATATAACTGTGGGCGATTGTCTTTATTCTGTTTATATCGGGGTGGACAGAATGGAGCTGGCGTACAGCTTACCTGAGACATGAAGGAACGACAACTCGATCTGAAGTCATGAGACAGAAATCTACTATAGTTGTTTGAGTTCACCAGAGACGTAAGTGTTTGTCCAGCGCGTCTGAAGGTAAGTGACAGCTTTCTGTAGGATAAGGTCTCGAGCAGTTACGCGACGTATGTCGGCAGCAGTACTGGGGAGACTTCGGATAGCGTTCGAGAGTTAATGACGAACATCGTCTTCAACCGTATCAGACGAGATTACCGTGTCTTCTTCTGTGGCATATTTGACAGCTTGACTGAAATCCTGAGTACGGCCGTAGCGGATTTCGAAGCGATAACAAAGAAGGATGACAACAAAACGATGAGATGTCAGCTAACCGAGTATGCAAGAATGCTTCTTCGAACCGAATATTGAAAGCAGTGGCTTGT